CGAGGAGGAGGCTAAAGATTCTTCGGTAAATACAATCTCCCCCGAGGGGTAATTAAGTAATTTTCGTTTCAATTGGCCTTGAGCATCTCCTTGTACCTCAGGATCGAATCGAGCCTCTGTAGCTTCAGCTGCTGTTTGAATTTGTTGATGAAATCGGAAGCTTTCTCGTCGACGCCATCTTCGCCGTCTCCGAACGACGTCGTTCTCTCGACCCTCGTCGTATCTGGCCTTCTCCGTTCGACGGATTCCGCCGACTCCGCCTCCTCGTGGCTTCCGGTGAAACCCATCCCCGATTTCTCACTCGCTGATTTCGTCATCTTCCCCGTCGATTTCTTCTTCTTCTTCACCGGTTTCTTCGATTCCGATTTGCTCCTGACGTGCCTGTGTTCTTCGTGAAGATCCGTATTCGGATCCGGGTAGGTTTCCGGGTCGGATCTATAAAATGAGGATAGCTTGATGGATTTGACCCGTTCCAGAATAGACGGAGCTCGGGTTAGACGAGGCGGGTCAATTGGATGATCCAATCCGGTTTGACCTGGTTGGTCTTCCTCCGGGATCTTGAATTTCGAGATATCAATCGGATCAACCCGACCCATCCGGGTCGGAATGTTTTCGAATCGGGTTGTTTCTTCCTCCGGGTTATACTGGTTGAAATGGAAGTACGACTTGTTGATGGATTTGACCCGATCCAGAAGAGATGGAGAGCGTTGCAACGGAGCCGGGTCCGGGTTTGGATCATGGTGTGAATGAGAGTGAAGATCCGACTCGGTTACGTCGTGTTGTGGGAACTTGAAGTAGGACATGTTGATGGATTTAACCCGATCCAAGAGAGAAGGACTGCGTTGTAACGGAGCTGGATTCGAGTCCGGGTAAACATGAAGATCCGACCCGATTACGTCGTGGTGTGACGTCATCGAGAAAAGCTCTGTTTCTGGATGAGGAAATTTGTAGAGATGGAAATTGATGGACTTTACTCGGTCGATAATCGACGGAGCTCTGGCTAACGGAGCATGGCCGGATCCAAACCCGTCGTGATGTGGGTGGTTTTTTCTTGAACCCGACCCGAATCGAGAAGTGATAACGATTGTGCCGATCATAAGATTGAGGAGGATGAAAAGTGTCGTCGGAGTGAACCAGCTTGCCACCGTCGATATGAACTCCATTTTTTGTTTTTGTGTTATGTTGCTGTCGGAAGAAGAAATATAAGGAC